AATGGAGATCAAATAAATGAGAGAGATGTCATGGAGAAGATCTTACGTATGTTGTCAAGTCGATTTGTCTATGTGGTGCAACCATTGAAGAGTCCAAAAACTTGACACTATGACCCTTAATGATTTACAAGCTTTATTATAGTCATGTGAGATGTAGATGAATGAAAGGTCTCCAAACACAATAGAACAAGCTTTAAAAGCTAAATTAAATTTAAGGATGAGACATCTAGATCAAAACATAGTAAAAAAGGCTCAAATCTCATAGGCAAAGGAGGAAGAAATTTCAAAATGACTTTAAGATAAGGTACAACAAAGAATGAATCTTCTTAATCTAAGTCTCGTATCATATATTCAGTGTCATAATTACAAAAGATATTATCATTATAAGAGAGGGTGTAATGCAGAGATATCAGAACATAGAGAAAATCAGGTGGGGGTAGCCCAAAATGATAGTGTAGAGACTTTATTGATGACAGCTCATGATAGTAATGGAAGTAAAAATAGTCAGTGGTTATTAGACTCATGTTATAGCAATCACTTGAGTGGAAATAAGGAAGTATGCTCTAAGTTAGATGAATCGTTTTGTTCTTTGATGAAACTAAATTGATAACCATGAAGTCCCAATTTTAGAAAAATGAAGAATTGCCATTAAATTAAACAATGGGTCTGCAAATTATATTTCTGAAGTTTACTATGCTTCTACTATTTTTCAAAACCTGTTAAGTGTGAGACAACTAATAGAAAATTGTTATGATTTGTGTTTTAACAAATACGGGTGCACTGTAAGTGACACAAAGAAATGAATGGTCTTAAAGACAAAGATGTCATCCAGTCATTTATTTCCAACATAAATCAATTATGGTAATGCTTTTAACTGTAATTCTGTCATTGTCGATGATAATTGGCTATGTCATATGCGGCTCAGGCACTTGAATTTTGGGAGCATCAAATTTCTTACAAATAAATAGTGGGTTTCAGGCTTACCAACTATTCAAGTTCCTAATCGACTTTGTGAGCATTGTGTCTTAGAGAAGAAGCACAAACATCTACTCCCTACAAAGTAGGCATGGAGAGCCAAAGGCCACTTGAGCTTGTGCATTTAAACTTATGCTACGTGGACACTCTTTCTAATGGAGGTAATGAATACTTCATTACTTTCATTGATAATTTTA